GCCGGCGCCCCGCGGCCGCCCGCCCTCGCGCACGCGCCTGCGCAGTGCATCTCCTGCCTCTGTGACAACCGTCTGGACACCGTTTCTATTCCTTTTTCTTGAAGGCTGAACTCCGAGCAGCTGTGTTTCTAGCGCTAGAGGAGCAGGAGAAAGTGGAGGTACGGAGTTGTCCCGGCCCCCGCGGGCCGTGTCCCCGCGCGGCCGCGTCTGCGCGGCGGGAGGGGGGCAGCGCTCACCCCGAAGACCCCAGGCCTTCCCGCGCCTTGCCGCCCTTCGGAGCCCTTAGCGAGGGTCCAGTCACACCGGCCCGCACCGGGCCCGAGGCACCGCGCTGGGCCGCCGGGCGCAGTCCTGAACCCGCCGCCGGCCGGTGGCGATCCCGTCCGAGTAGGGCGCGCACACTGTCACTTTCCCCAGGGCGCTGGGCACGACGATTTGAAAAGCATGATGTTGTTTTCAAAAGGGCAACGACACCTCTGTCGGTGAGCGGATAGTTGATCGATTTCTCCGCACCTCACACCCTGTCAACCTCTCCGAACAAGTCCCTTGAAAGGCCCTGTCACTTCCTGGAGGACAAATTGATCTCCTATGCTTCCACTCTGTAATCTTACGTGTTTGCTCTTCAGTTTCATCGAACTTGCCCGATAAGCTGGATTCCAGTGGTTAACACCTGTTGGGAGGCAGAGATAGAAGGATCCCTGTTTGAGGCCAGCCCAGGGAAAACTTAGACTGTTTCAAACATAAGTTAGATATGATGGTACCCACCCGTAGCCAAGATAGGAAGATTGTCTGAAAAGTAAAACCAGATAGAGGTGTGGCTCCAAGGGTATGCTGGCATAAGATCCCAAGTTCAAACCCCAGTACTGTCTTCAGCTCTTCCTCTTTTTGTGTAGGCATCAGTCTAGGTCCCCCAGCACCATTTGTTGAAGAGGCTGTCTTTTTCATTCTGTTTTTGACTACTGATATTTGGGTGTATTTCTGGGTCTTCTATTCCACCAGGTCTCTCTTTATGCTAGTACCAGGCTGTTTTGTTGTTATAGCTCTGTAGTAAACTGAAGAAAGAAGCATTGCTTCTTTGCTCACATTTGCTTTGGTTATTTGGGGCCTTTTGTAGTTCAGTGTGAATTTTTGGAATGTTTTCCCTATCTTAGTGAAGACAGCATTTGATTTTGATGGGTATTGCATTGAATTTGTAGATCGCCTTTGGCAGCATAGCCATTTTCAGGACATTTGCCAATCCATGAACATGGACTTTTTCCATTTCCTGAAGATCCTGGAGGCTTCTTCCATTTCCTCTTTAGAGTTTTATAGGTTTTTCACTACAGAGGTCCTTCAGTTTCTTGGTTAGATTTATTCATGTATGGGGGGAAGAGGGGGAGAAACTACTGCAAATGCAATTTCCTCATCTTCTTCTGTCTGCACATTGTTGATATAGAGAAAAACTACTGAATTTTGTGTGTTGATTTTGTATTCTACTACTTTGCCAAAATTATCAGCTCTAGGAGCTTGGGGGTGGAGTCTTTTGGAGTCTTTAGGGCCCTTTAGATGTAGAATCATATCACCTACAAATAGGGATAGTTTAGCCTCTTCTTTACCCTATTTGGATCTCTTGCTCTATTGTTCTAGCTAGGAATTCCAGCATTATATTGAAAAAGAGTGGAGAAAGTAGGTACCTTTCTCTTGTTCCTGATTTAAAGGAAAGAGTTTTAGTTTATCCCCATTTAGTAGGATGTTGGCTGTAGGTTTGTCATAGATTGCCTTACTTATGTAGAGGTATGTTCCTTCTTTAGTAGTTAAGTCTTGAAGTCTGTTTCCTTTTCTTCTTTGTCGTAAATTGCTTTTGTAGAAGTTACATATTTCTTTGATTATTTTTGGCATGTGCTCATTGGCACTTGTAAGATGTTCTTGATATAAGTTTTGTTTCTGTCGGGAGACTCCGACATGATATTTATGTATTTATGTATGTATGTATGTATGTATTTATTTATTATGTTGGTTGTGGGTCTTTAACTCTGGGCCTGGGCTTTGTTCCTGAGCTCTTCAGCTCAATGCTAGTGCTCTACCACTTGAGCCAGAGCACCATTTCTGGCTTTTTCTGTTTATGTGGTACTGAGGAATTGAACCCAGGGCTTCATGCATGCTAGGCAAGCACTCTAACACTGAGCCACCTTCCCAGCCCTGATGTCATTATATTTGAGGCTTTCTTACTGCCCCCTGGTTGTCAGGTCTTTGCAGCTTTGAAGGGGAATAGTTCTCTTTTAAATCATTGGCTATTTTCTAATCTCCCCCAGTATCTAAGCATTATTTCCATTTCTTATCAAACCATATAGTTTGGCAGATAATGTAACCTCGTGTGACCTGGTTGTCATTTTCCTGACTTATGTCTTTGTGGTTATATCTGATAACAGCATATGCCATCTGTTCAAATAATGGTCATTTCCGAGGAAAGGATGTAAAAGTATCTTCTAAACTTGGGTTTGAATCTGTAGTCTCAACTTTGGTGTTGGATCTAAATGAAACATTCCAAGTAATTTTGCTTTTAAACAAGTTTTTTTTTTGGTTGGTTGTGGGGCTTGAACTCTGGGCTTGGTGCTGTCCCTGTGCTCTTCAGCTCAAGGCGAGCACTCTACCACTTGAGCCACAGTGCCACTTCCGGTTTTCTAGTAGTTTTTGGAGATAAGAGCCTCATGGACTTTCCTGCCTGTGGCTTTGAACGATGATCCTCAGATCTCAGCCTTCTGAGTAGCTAGGATTACAGGGGTTAGCCACCAGCGTCCGGCTTAAACAAGTTTTGTTTAAAGGAGTATTGTATGAAAGTTTACAGGATGAAGCAAGTTCATTTAGGCTTGAATATGTACACAAGGTAAAACACAGGTGTACCCCACTAGGTTATTAATGTTTTATAAATGTATAACTGTTGCTCATTGCTATACAGGTGTAAATAAACATGGCTTAGATTCAATAAAATTAAGAGTGTGCACCTCTTTTTGGTTTGACCTCTTTTATCCAGCATAATGCATGTGAATTTCATTCATATTATAGAGTATCTTGTTATTCCATTTTATCCTGAGTTCAGGATTAATGGATTATTCCATTGTCTATTGAGTAGATATGTGGCTACTATATTAGCCTTGTCCTAAACAGTGGTTACAGGCTTGATATACAAGAATGTTTTTCTATATGCATATCTACAATTAAAAAATAAACAGATTTATGGTCACATGAAGTTACCTCACATGCTACTGTTGAACTGGGAACTGTAAGTTTATATGTTCTAAATGGTAGATAGACCTGAGATGTTTAAGAAAATCTAAGTTCATCTTGCACAAGTATTTGACGATATCTTGCTTCAAAATCAGCTTAGTAAGGAATACATAAAATATGTGTAAAGGGCTAGGATATAGCCAAATGACAGGTGCTTTCCGGGTTTGTGTGAGATCCCAGGTTCTATCCTCGGCACCAATCTTCATGTATGGTTTACTTTATTAATCTTGAGAAGTAATACCACAAAATGAATCTTGTAGAGAAATAATTTTATAAAACTAATTTTATAAAAAATGTTAAACTTTAATGTACATTTTGTAGTTATTTCTAGGATAAATATGTGACAAAAGTATTTTTTTTTAACAGAACAAGACTCCTTTAGTCAATGAGAGCCTGAAAAAGTTTTTAAATACGAAAGATGGTAAGATGGTCCACTTACTATTGTTTGAGTTTTCAAATCTTGTCACCAGTTTGGAAGAAATCAGCAATTTTTAGTATTGTTTTAAAATCTGTGATTTTTTACTAATTATTTTCAAACAGTATTTTACTGTATAACAGCTTGCTATTATTAAATGTTTTTGGTCTTAGGAGGTTTTAGATTTAAAGCCAATTTTACCAAAATATCCAATTTTACTATAAGAAGTGCAACTGTGAAGTCCATTTACAAAATACTACATTGTCTTAAAGCTAGTGCCAGACAGATGATGATCCTAATGACCAAATGGGGAGGTTGGTGTTTTCACTGAGTAATTGTATTATTCACAGAGAAGAGATCTGTAGCTAGAAACCGCTTTCTTCCCATGGATTCACAGTGCCCATAAAAAAAGTCAAAGTTCTTAAAGATTTACTTATACATCTTTTTTCTTTGTCTTTGCAGGACGCTTAGTGGCTAGTCTTGTTGCAGAATTTCTTCAGTTTTTTAACCTTGACTTTACCTTGGCTGTTTTTCACCCTGAAACCAGCACAGTAAGAGTAATGATTTTTTTTTTTTAACCTTCCATGAAACATTGATATATACATGAGTTAATATTAAGCTGAGGGGCTGGGAAGGTGGCTCAGTGGTAGAGTGCTTGCCTTGTGTGCATGAGGTCCTGGGTTGGATTCCTTAGCACCACATACGCAAAAAGAAAAAAAGCCGGAAGTGGCTCTGTGGCTCAAGTGGTAGAGTGCTAGCCTTGAGCTGAAGAGCTGAGGGACAGCACCCAGGCCCAGAGTTCAGGCCCCATGACTGGACCCGCCCCCCTCAAAAAAAATTAAGCTGAAAGTTAATGGGCTTTGACAACTTTGGTTATTTGCAGGTAGATTATTATTTTTATTTCTTAAAAGCCATCTGGGCTCTCTGAGATGACCATAAGGATTGCTGTTTCCTGTTGCTCAGAAAGGAGTGTTGACTGTGACACTCATTCTGTTAGAATGATGCATTGAAGTTGTTAATACAGACTCTGACTATACTCATTGTGTAAAAATTAGGCAAACTTAAAGTTATTTCATTAAGAAAAAGGCAGCCTTGTTGAGTTTAGATATTTCCTTAAGTTACTAATTATTTATTTATTTATTTTATTAATTGGTCCTGGGTTTTGAACTCAGGGCCTAGGTGCTGTCCCTGAGCTTTCCCTCAAGGCTAGCACTCTACCACTTTGAGCCACAGCTCCATTTCTGGTTTTCTGGTGGTTTATTGGAAGTAAGAGTCTTATAGACTTTCCTGCCTTGGGCTTTGAACTGTGATCCTCAGATCTCAGCTTCCTGAGTAGCTAGGATGACAGGCATGAGCCACCCAGCACCTGGCTAAAGTATTTTTAATCTCTGAATATTCTTTTGCTGTTTTTGCATACCCTAATCTTACTTCTTTTCTAGTTTCAAGGTTTTGAAGGTCGAGAGAATCTAGCCCGAGATTTAGGTATCATCGAAGCAGAAGGAACTGTGGGTGGACCCTTGCTATTAGAAGTGATTAGACGCTGTCAGCAGAAAGAGAAAGGGATTGCTGGTGGGGAGGTAAGTGTAATCCTGAGTAGCATTTCCTGTTTGCTATTTCAGCCACTGGCTGTGTAGGTTAGCCATGCAGGTTAGAACATGTATTGTAAATCAAGGTTTGCATAGAAAGAAAATATTCCTTAAGAACAAAATGAGTTGTACTGAGATTGATTGTATAGATGTATATGTTAATGAAACTTGAAATGTGCACATTATGATACTTTTGTGTGCAGCTCCTCACTGACCAGTTGGTTGACCTTGGACATGTGACTGCCTAGTTTGTAAAAGGAGGGTGATGGGACCCCCACGGGTGCCTAGCCCTACACGCATCAGTGTGTGGAAGTGAAACGTCCTACACACGCATCAGTGTGTGGAAGTGTGAAACGTCCTACACACGCATCAGTGTGTGGAAGTGAAACGTCCTACACATGCATCAGTGTGTGGAAGTGAAACGTCCTACACACGCATCAGTGTGTGGAAGTGTGAAACGTCCTACACACGCATCAGTGTGTGGAAGTGAAACGTCCTACACATGCATCAGTGTGTGGAAGTGTGAAACGTCCTACACACGCATCAGTGTGTGGAAGTGTGAAACGCCTACACACGCATCAGTGTGTGGAAGTGAAACGTCCTATACACGCATCAGTGTGTGGAAGTGAAACGTCTACACACGCATCAGTGTGTGGAAGTGTGAAACGTCCTACACACGCATCAGTGGTGGAAGTGTGAAACGTCCTACACATGCATCAGTGTGTGGAAGTGAAACGTCCTACACATGCATCAGTGTGTGGAAGTGTGAAACGTCCTACACACGCATCAGTGTGTGGAAGTGAAACGTCCTACACACGCATCAGTGTGTGGAAGTGAAACGTCCTACACACGCATCAGTGTGTGGAAGTGAAACGTCCTATACACGCATCAGTGTGTGGAAGTGAAACGTCCTACACACGCATCAGTGTGTGGAAGTGTGAAACGTCCTACACACGCATCAGTGTGTGGAAGTGTGAAACGTCCTACACATGCATCAGTGTGTGGAAGTGTGAAACGTCCTACACATGCATCAGTGTGTGGAAGTGAAACGTCCTACACATGCATCAGTGTGTGGAAGTGAAACGTCCTACACATGCATCAGTGTGTGGAAGTGTGAAACGTCCTACACATGCATCAGTGTGTGGAAGTGAAACGTCCTACACATGCATCAGTGTGTGGAAGTGAAACGTCCTACACACGCATCAGTGTGTGGAAGTGTGAAACGTCCTACACGCGCATCAGTGTGTGGAAGTGAAACGTCCTACACACGCATCAGTGTGTGGAAGTGAAACGTGGTATTGCCGTGGAGAGCATCAGCAATGGTTGGGGTTTTTGTTAGTGAAATAACAAAAGTCTGATTTTATAGATAATTTTTTGATTTTAAAAAAGATTTTTAAAATAAGCTAATGCTAATCTGTTATTTTGTTTAGTTTCTAAATATTTTCTAAGTCTTTTTTTTATAGGCATTTTTGTGTGTGTTGGCACTGAGCTTGTGTGCTGGAACCTAGCACTCTACTGCTGGAGCCAAGCTCTGCTTTCATCTGTTAGGTGGTTAGTTGGAGATGAGGGTCTCATGGACTTACTTGCTTGAGCAAGGCTCTGACCATAATTCTCAAGTCTCAGCCTCCTGAGTAGCTAGGATTATAGGTACGAGCCACTGGAAACCAGCTTTAAAGGCTTTTTTTTTTTTGACGGTCATGGGGCTTGAACTCTGGGCCTGAGGGCTGTCCCTCAGCTCTTCAGCTGAGGGACATGCTACCGCTTGAGCTACAGCGCCACTTCCAGTTTTCTGGTGGTTTATTGGAGATAAGGGTTTCACAGCTTTTCCTGCCCGGGCTGGCTTTGAACCAGGATCCTCAGCTCTCAGCCTCCTGAGTAGCTAGGATTACAGGTGTGAGCCACCAGTGCCTTTAAAGGCTTTTTTGAGGTAGGGTCTCACTATGTAGCCAGGATGGCCTTGAACTTACGATCCTCTAGCCACCAGAGTGCTGACATGTGCTGCTGTGTCTAGCTCAAATTTCTACTTTCTTGGGTAGCAGACACTTTTTCTTATGTGTAACTCACTTTTTCTTGTGTGTACACACGCATTAGCATTACATGAAGTTACCCTGTCTTACAGACTGGTCACTTGCTATGCTAGTATTTGGTTAAGTGTGCTTTTATTTATAGGAATCACTTAGGGTGATGGAAGATTGGAGGCATTCTGCTATATAAGTTGGAGAGTCTCAGTATATTTTCTATTGGAAGCCTTCAATATCAGTAATGCATGTCTGAGTAGTAATTGCATTTAAGGTGTGGTCATTAGATTCTGTGAGTCATACATGATAAAAAAAGTCCTGTTTCCTCAGAGCTCTTTAAGATAAAAGATATATGCACGTAAGGAAGGTAACCTTTAAAATAAAGATTTAAATTTAAATAAAGATTTTAAATAAAGATTTTAATCTTTAAAATAAAGATTTAAGAAAGGTCATACAGTACATGATTATTTACAAATATTCATGACTGTCTTAGGGCCTTGTACAGGTGTTTAACCATTTGAACCATACTCAGAGTCCTTTTTGTTTTAGGTTTTTTTCCTTTTTTCTTTTAACGTTCTCCTATGTAGGTTCAGGCTAGCCTAGTCATTATCTTACCCATACATCCTTCACAGCTGGGGGGGTAAGCACACTTGCCCACCCAGCTCCTGGAGGTGGGGTCTTGTGAGCTTTTTGTGTAGGCTGGCCTTCATGGAGGTCCGCTGGATCTTGGCTCCTAGGTAGCTTGGATTTCAGGGGTGAGCCTGTGCCTGGCATAGTTGCTTTAGTTAAAAAGCAGATGGTTTCATGATAAAGTTTTGTGTAATGCAGAGAGTTGGTTATGGTACAAGGATGAAGAATGGTGTCCTAGGAAGGCAGAAGAGTGCTGGCAAAGGGGGAAGGGAGAGCCTGGCCAGGTCTGGGCGGGGGAGGGAGCAGCTGCTGAGTCTGTTGTGCATTATACATTCATCCATTCATTATTCATCAGTTACTTAATAAGTACTTGTTGTGCTAGGTACTAGGGTGTAAGATACCCCAGTCTCCTGGGGCCAGAATTCTGTGGTTAGGGTGACAACATCTCAGTTTTGGCTCTCATGCTATCTGTAGCTCTGACCTCTTTTCTCTTTCTCCCTGCCCTTCTGAGCTGCTCCTTGGCTGTCCTAATTGCAGCCGTGGTAGCACCCGTTTTTCTCGCTGGTTCTGTTTCCCTTCTTCCACTCCCTAGTGAATAGTGTGAGCTCTGGAGCCTGGCTGCTGGGATGAGTGTGGTATTCTATGTGCCACTTCTTCCCTCCCCTCCTGCTTGATGCTTTAGAGTATCTCTCTGAAGAGAGGGCTGAACAGAGCTTGCAGTAGGAGCTGGTGGAACACGGGTTGGCAAGGAGACATGAAGTATCAATGGTGGCTGTCTTGTTAAACATGTTTTTTTGTATGAATAACTCCCATCACAGGTCAGAATTTCAGCTATTCACTAAACACTCACCTGGATTGACTCGCTCCTCTGTATCCTGTGTGGAGAAAACTTGACCCAAAAACTCCTTCCCCGCAGACAAGCCTGAATCCAGGTGTTTTTTACTGTTTGTGCTGACTCTGAACCTGGGGGCTCATACCCCTGGAGTCATTTGTTGCCTGTAGGCATCAGACTATGGAGGAGTGATTGCTGGAAGGCTTCCTGCTCCAGTGGATAGGAGGTGGCCTCAGACAAGCCCAGGGTAAGCTTTGTTGTGTAGTTAGGTGCTGTGAAGCCGCAGAACTCCTTCCTGACTGGTAGATCTGTCTTACCCTGTCTTCGCCGTGACTCTCATAGAGCAAGTATAGCAAATGGTACCTTCAAAAACAAATGGTTTTGTTCCTTCTAACTTCAAGGTATTAAGTTCTGCGTTTTATCTTAATAGTTGTATCTGGATGTTTTGTTTTAATATACTACATATACATACATAAATATACTACAGTATTTAGAATAAGGAACTTAAAGGTGTGTTTCACCCTTTCTTCCACAATTTACTGGTGTTATAATGAAATAAAAATGACAAGCATTGTAAACTTTTGGCTTTGGAGCGCAGGTAGGAAAACTAGCTGGATAACTCTGGGGACTCAGTTACTGATGCTCTTCACCAAAGCTGCATTTTTACCTCCTTAAGAATCCTGTTCGCCTGTAATCCTGGCTACTCAGGAGGCTGAGATCTGAGGATTATGGTTCAAAGCCAGGCCAGACAGGAAAGTCTGTGAGACTCTTATCTCCAGTAAACCACTAGAAAACCGGAAGTGGCACTGTGGCTCAAGCGATAGAGTGCTCGCCTTGAGCTGAAGAGCGTAGGGACAGCACCCAAACTCAGAGCTCAAGCCCCATGACCGCCCCCCCCCAAAAAAAAAGAATCCTTTTGTGCCTGCTGTGCCTTAATGTCTTGATGATTTTATGAAATTGTCCTCAGCTGTGTAATGAAAGCCCTTCCTGTTTTTGGAGCTCTCAGTAAACCAGTCTCACGTGCTTAGACCTTCAGTATCTATGTCTTCATACCTGTTCAGCAATGTCATTTCCTCCCTGGTCTCACCTTTCAGTCTCTTTAGGAATTGTCTTTAAAATACAGCTCTTCATGCTTTCCTTTCCTTTTTACAAATGGCAGCAACTCTGCAATGGTGACTTGTGAGTCTCCAGGGTCTTTGTCCCTCACTTGAGATCTGGAGTGGTGTTCTTCCAGCTGCCTGTCTAGCCTTAGGAGGACTTCTGTGAGGTACAGAACCTCAGGTAGGCCGAGGGCCTTTTGTCTGGAGTGCTCTGGAATGGAAGCAATTAAGATTTCTGAAGTTTGAGGGTTTGGGAATATTTGCAGAAATTTACCAGGTGAACATCCCGATAACCTTGTCCCACAATTCTGAATTCTGTAGGGCTTAGCATTGCACTTAGAATTTTCACACCAGGTATGTTTAGCCAGTACTTAAGCCAGGCAGAAGCTGCTCCTTGAAAGTGAGTGTGCCTTCTTGCTTTCTCTCATTTTTCCCTGAACTGATACATACTCTCCTTTCCCATTAGAATTTTATCTATTCAGCTGACTCTTGCTCTTCCTGGTCTTACTTCTGGCAGCTAGTATGCCAGATTGTAAGTCATCTGTGCTTGCCCTGGCTGTGCCCCTAGGTCCTGAGTCTGTGGGCTCTAACACAGTGATTTAGCAAATGCTGGTTTCTATTTGAGATGAAAAAGTTGTGAAGGTTAGAGAAGACTAGGAAAAGTGAAACCTGGAAGAAAGCAAATCCAGACAATATGGTATCAGGAAGACTTGAAGGAAAGGGACAGAAAAGACTTGGTCTTAAGGGAAGAGTCAATGAGAATTGGTAAATTAGTATTTTGGCAAGGGGCCAAGTCTTAGATGGCAGCGTGGGGAGAGAAGAACATGAGCGTTGCCTAGTCTGAGAGAAGGTAATGCTGTCCTTAGAATACCGAAGGAGCGGCACATTTTCATATACAAAACGTAGACTTCCTTAAGTAAAATAGACAATATTTAATATGCACATGGTGGTAATAGATGAGTTTTAAGAAGTGATTCCTATTCAAGAAATATTTTGTTGAATGAAGGAGAGCGATGGGTGAGTCTGATCAAGGTCATCGTATGTATATATGAACAGAACACAGCGCAGGTCCCTTGTGTGACTGACGCTAATGAAAATAGGAAGCTAGTTTTTAAAGCTCCTTTGCGTTTGATTTTAAAAATGAAAAACAAAAAATCTACAAAAGCAGAGACCCGAAGTTATAATTGTGGACACTTAGAGGATAAGCAGGGAGATCCCAAGCTGCAAGCCAGCCTGTGCTATACAACAAAACCTGTTTTGAGGACAAAATGAAGGGGTTATGAGAAAGAAAGAGAAAATAGCCATTTGAAGGAGGTTGGGTTTGTTTTGAGAGCATTTCTTTTGATCTTTGATATTTTTTCCTGGCATAAAATGAAGCAGGAAAGCACAGCTAGAAAGAGGGGAGAAAATTGATCCTAGTCAGAAAAGAAGCGGGGAGGGGGGGGCAGAGGGAGTCAGTGTTGCACTGGTGGACCCTGTGCCTGTAGCTTGTTGAGGGACTCTGAGCAGTGCATTGTGCATGGCTAGAATCTAGTGATGGTTTCTTTTGCAGAGTCAGAGAAGATTCTAACACGATATTTACATTAGTGAGCATTTAGACAAATGTTGATGTTAGTGCTCAAATTCCATTGAGATATCATTAAAACCTCATGTTTTAAGGTTTTAAATGTGTTTTCATTTTAAACTTTGATTTTAGGGTGCACTGGAACTATCTGATGTACATTCTCCATCAAAGTCACCAGAAGGAAAAACAAACTCAAACACAATCCCAAGTAAGGTGAGTTAGCAGCTCATTCAGAAGTCTTGTGTACCCTGGGACGCTTGGGGCTCTACTCCTTTGTTTCAAGTTTTACTTTCTTTGTGACAAGTGCTCTTGAAGTTTCTTTCTCCTTCCTTCCTTCTTTTCTTTTCCTTTCTTTTTTCTTTTCTTTTCTTTGTTGGTCATGGGGCTTGAACTCTGGGGCTAGGTGCTGTTCCTGAGCTCTTCAGCTCAAGATGAACGCTCTACCATTTGAGCCACAGCCCACTTCTTAAAGTTTCTTAAAGGTGCTGTTTCCCCCTGCTTTGATTAAGTGTTTTTAAAAGTTAGTTTTTTTGTTTCATTTTTTTTTTTATGTCTCAGAGAACAAATGCGTTCTTAAGTATCAGAATTGGAGAATATTTGAATTCACTTGGTACTTTGAATATTTTTCACTTCACTCTTAGTTCTCATATATTCCTTGCTCAAGGATAGTAGGTTTTGGTTATAAAATTGTTGTGTTGAATACTGTATACTTCTGATGGACGGCCAGCCATTTGCAGTTGTAAGTTACAGTGGTTATATATATTAATGAATTTTTTTTGATAGGACTTACAGGATAATGTACTGTGGTTACATTTGTGAGTTTATATGTGGTATGTGTACGCATGTGTGTGCGTTTATGGGTTGGAATATGGCATAAAGGACAAAACAAGTCGAATGCCAGCATTTAAGATCAAAGGCATCTGTTAATAATAGAAGAACAAATAGATGACTTTCAGGAATTGCTGTCTTCAGGTGAATTAATTGCTAGTACTAGCTGGTCCTGTAACAGAATGGATTGGGCCATATACTAATCCACTCAGGCTGCTGTAATGGAATACTGCAGACTGACTGGTTGGCAGTGGCAGGTGGTGAGTTCAGTTCTGGAGGGAAGGCAGTGGTGAGGGCGAGATTGCTGGTTTGTGGATGCTGTCTCCTGTGTGTTCTCAGATGGTGGAGGAGACATTAGAGCTCCCTGGTGTCCCTGAATAAGGGTACCAGTCCCTTTCATGAGTGTTCCACTCTTTTGACTGATCACCTCCCACAGGCCCCATCTCCTAATGCATTCATTACCTAGAGGGTGTGACTTCAGCATGGTGATTTCTTGAGGACACTCACAGGCAGTCTGTCACAGGTCCAGTTGCATTCGGTGACTTTACGTTTGACTTCTACCTCATGGGAATAGATGAGGTATGGAGTACACATGGCAAGGCAAGGCTTGTGTGGGTCCAGGGAAGTGCACTGATTTTCAGGTACAAGTTGCATGTTTTCAAATCAGGTGAAACTCCAGAGATTAATAATTTTACCTCCAGCTCTCTTTCTTTTTTAAATGTCGTAAGCATGTAACATTGCTAACAAGTGCTGCTGTTACTTCTTGTCACTCAGTGACTTGTTCCGTCTACTTTGGAGAGGGATGGATGGCCTTGGGAGTGCTGCTCCCTTCAAGGTATCCACTTAGTTTTAATTGACAAGATTTTTTCCTAAAAGTTTCTTTCTTGATGATGCGAGAGTCTGTAGCCCTGATAGATTAGTCCTGAGTCCATTTGACAAATATCTTCAAATTAACTGTTGATAAAAGAACCTGTGGAAGGAAGATTTATTTTTTCCATGAAAAATCTGATATTAGAGATTAAAATGAAGGAATATTCTAAGTGACTTTTCAGTATCTGTAGTACTGAGCTATTTGGAAACTCTCTTTCTCTCTTTAGCAAATAACTTTAAAAAATTGTGCTAACCTTCCAGGTAAGGTATATCTTTAAGAAAACAACAACTCTGTTTTACATACTCCCTACACATAAAGATTAATTTAAAACTAAGAATAATTCAAATCCTGCGTTAAGTGAGTTTGGAAATCCTGCTGCTCATCTCATTCTCCTGGAGAAGTGGTGATAATCTCTGATGGTCAGTTTAGAGAACAGTATCTACCCCCCTCCTCCATGATATCCCACTCCTGCCCTCCCCTGTGGCCCTCCTGCCCCTTCTGCCTCCTCCCCCTCCATGGCACCACACTGCTGCCGCAGTGGTGGTAGGTTATTATCATGGTATTAGGTAGTACCATGTGACTTGGCAGTTTACAGCTCTCCCTTCAGATACTTACTGGCTGGGCTAGGCTGGTTCTTAGATTGCAGTTCTTCTGTAGTCGTAAAGCAGGGGTGGGGACTTCTATGTCCAGGGCTGTTTGGATATTTATGACATCCTTGGGCCATCTAGACTCACCAGTACAGACAGATGGGCTGCTGGCAGCTCATGTGAAGCATACAAGATTCCTAGGGCCTTCCCTGGTCAGACAGATGGGAAATGAAAGATTCCTTTAGGGACTAAAGGATTTGGACGTAGGATCCTAGTACTTTGCTAGTGCTGTCTCTTCTTGCCAGTCACCTTCCTGTCATCCCTGTCAGCCTAGAGAGCCACAGAGAGCATGATGGCCTCTGAGAAGCTGTGATAGAGCACAGCCTGTGGTGCAGGCCTCCTGCGGAAGGTCAGGGGAGGTCTGACAAGACCACCCAGAGCTTCAGGGTTTACTAGAACCAGAGTGATGCTCGTGTAGTGGGGAAGCAGCCACTGTGGTGCTACAGCAGAACAGGTGCTGGCTTCTGTGTCCACAGCCTGCCAACCATCATGAACCTGTCAGACTTGAGCTGACACGGGCCTGGAGGAAAGTCCAGCAAGGCCAGAAGAGAGCGGGCTTTGGAGAGATCCTCCATTTCTAAGAGAGCTACTGGGAATCATACTGGTTTGGGGTTGAGTTAGTTTTTTTGTAAAGATTTACATGTTGTGGTAAAATGTCATTTTATTCTCATGCTCAGATACCAAGGTATAAAGGACAAGGTAAGAAGAAGACAAGCGGGCAGAAGTCTGGTGACAAGGTAACATGCATGAGGGCAAAGGAGAAAGCAGCCTGTGCCAAGACAGACCCCCAGATTCACAGGCCTCCTGCTGGCCTGGGTTTTCAGCTTTCTTTTGAACTGTAACTGCCATCTAACTGATCAAAATATGAGGAAGTAATGTTGGTTTAAAAGAAAAAGTAGTTTGTAAGTTTTATCCAGGTGAAAATCATACTGTTGTGCTTAGTTTTATTTTGAAAATTGGTGTTTCGTTGAGAAAAATGAGTTGAAATTTGTTTATTTATATATTGTCCCAATACTGGGGCTTGAACTCAGAGCTTGGGTACTGTCCCTTAGTTTTTGTTTTTGTTTTTGTTTTTTTGCTCAATGTTGGTTCTCTACTTTTTGAGCCACAGCACCACATATGACTCTTTGGTGATTAGTTTTAGGTAAGTCTCATGGACTTCCCTGTCTGGGCTGGCTTTGAACCTTGATCCTCAAATCTCAGCCTCCTGAGTAGGAGGATTACAGGTTTAAGCCACCAGTGCCTGGCTCTGTTATGTTCTTTTTGCTGGATGATCATGAAATTAACACTATGATTTTTACCTGAGGAAAATAGAATATCACATTACTTTTTGGATAATTTGGATAATTTCTAACTGATAAGGGCTACCCCTGATTTCCTTCCAGAACATCTTGTACAGAGATGTCTGTTGACCTTTGCTCAGGCCTCTCTTGGTGGGAAGTCCTGCACAGCAGTCAGGCTGCTTTTTCTTCCTCCCCTAAAGATCACAAACTTTGACCAAGACAGTAGATTAGCTGCTTATGAAACTTAATGAATAGAAGTCTTAGATACATTATAGTTTTTACATCTATTTAGAATAAGACAAAAGGATTTTAGCTTTTAGTTCTCAGAAATGTACTAGTCTTATGATGAGTGAAAGACTTAAAAAAAAAAAAAAGAAGCTATGTTAGCTCTGTTAACTGTTTGCAGTTGGGTAGTTTCCAAGGTAAATTTTGTAATTGTAGACTTTTTTTTTGTTCCCACTGTTCTTCATGCACTGGTTAATGAACAAACAAGTTGATGTTTATTAACTAGCAAATATTTTGGAGTATTCACATAGTGAAGTCATTTAATGCTATAGGCCAGACACTTAACCCTTGCTTAAGGAAACCTCAGGCTAATTGCAGAGGTGAGATAACCTTAAGATTGGTTACTAGGAATATTAAAGAAGTAGCTTTTATTTCCTTAGATTCTTTTAAGATTCTTTTTTTTTTAAGAAACAAATAATAAGTATTACATATAGTATTATCATTTAGTATCATGGGTCTTAAAGAAGGTAAAATACTTAGAATAAGCTCATATATAAAACCAAGTATACTAAGAGACATAGTTTTTTTCACTGTGTGTCATGTGACACAGCTGGGGTTGGTGGTTGGGGTCGGCCTGGACCTCAGCCTTCACTCTGCGGTGGGCAGGGCCTCTCTTGCTCTGATGTGAGAAGGGGATCCAGACCTGGCCTCATCTCAGAGTGGGGCTGTAAGTTGGACTCCCTATTCTCTTGTTGTTCTCCTGAGCTCAAGATAGTTACTTCTTCAGTCACTTTGAACCCTTTTTCCCTTCTACTTCGCTGGTCTTATTTCTGAGTGGCCTTTGCATGAATTACACTCAGCATTGCCTTTTTCCAGAATTAGACGGATAAGCCTTTAACTTTCCTTTGCTTTTCTGCCTTGCCCTGTGCATGAAGTAGGTTCTCACCATCCTTAACATCACAGCTCAGTCAGATAGCTGGCCACTTACTTGCATGTGGTGGTGGTTGAGGTTGTGCCTACCAGAACTCCAGAGGGAGCTATTCCCATGGCAGGTGACTAGCCTTTCCCATACTGTGTGCAGTGGGACATGAAGTGCCATGAAGTGGGGTGTCCCTGGGAACTTCTCTCTGGGGAGCACTGGCGCCCTGAGCCAGGAGTGTGGATATGTCTCCAGGTTTGCTTTCAACTTGCATGCAGGAAGGGTCAGGTATTCATAGTTCATCGGGGTTCCAGGAAGCTATATTTATAAAACTGGTTAAAATCATTTATATACGTGTATTAACAGGTTTGTAAGGTTTTTGAGCTAGCGTAACTTGAGTAAAAATAACAGATCTTGTCACCGCTGCTCAGAGACAGTGAAGACCAAGTTAGAGATTGGGACTACAAGGTTAGATTTAGAAACACATTTTTCCAAGTTGTAGACACCCATGATAGTTTATTTCATTGAATCCCATTTTGTTTTACTGAACACTGTCCAAACATAGTATCTAAAACATGTGCAAAAGTCGAATAAGCCTGTATCTCAGCACGAGGGAGGCTGAGGCAGGAGGGTCTTGAGTTGCAGGCCAGCCTGGGCTACATAGTGAGACCCTACTTGAAAACCCCCCAAAAGAAGCCAGGTACTGGGGCTTATACCTTGTAAATCCTAGCTACTCAGGAGGCTGTGTTCTGAGGAACAGTTTGAAGCTAGCCCAGGCTAGCTAGGAAAGTCTGTGAGACCCTTATCTCCAATTAGCCACCTGAAAACTGGAAGTGGAGCTGTAGCTCAAAGTGGGAGAGCACTATCCTTGAGCAGAATAACTCAGGGACAGCACCCAGGCCCTTAGTTCAAGTCCCAAGACTGATCTTCCCCTTACCCCCCAGAAAAAAGCCAAAAAGAATAGCTCTTACAAGCTAATAAAATAAATGTAAACAAAAGCAAAAAAAATAGACATTCAGGTTCTTACCACTTAGTTGGGAAAACTGAGATATTAGATGATGCTTGTTTGGGGCAGACTGTGTTAGGGGCTCACACATGTTAGGCAGTCCTTGTACCACTGAGAGCGTTGCCTGCTTTGTATCATGACATTTGCTGTAAGACAAACTAGTTCTCAAGTGTGTAGAACCAAAGTCTGCTGATGTACTTGTTATCTTTACTCTTAGCAATGTGACCTTATTGTTTCTTACTTTCAGTATTCTAGAAACAGCTCAGGTCAGTGATCATGATCCCAGTGACCACATTGTGTTTGTGTCTTGGGCAGTCAAGTCACCTCAGTTTTCTAAATAAAATAAGCATCATTGATACTTTAACTCACAGCCCTACATTCTGGACAGCTGGGTAGGTGGATGTGCAAATGGTTGGGCCGAACTCTTTGCTCTTCCAGTCCTGCCTGCCCAGCTCTGATTTCCTCCTTTTGAGCTTCTGGGCTGCTTCTTTTGGCACTGCTTGTCAGCTGAACTTGGTAGGCAGGGCCAGAGGGTGAGGATGCAGGGGTGGACTGGCTGGGAATGGGGCCATCTCCTGTGCTTGCTGCAGACCAGCAGAAGATTGTGGTTTTTCTTTGGAGCATATGCTTACACATGGTAGAGATGGGATTTCTCTATCCACACTGAGGTTTTTGGAAGATAGTTAAATGTTTCAAGGTGCTACAGTCCTTCAGTATTGCTTTTGTAGACAAGCAAATTAAACCTGTTAGCTATGTGTGCCTGTTAGAACTAGAGTAAAAGTCTCTCAGGACTTCATTAATAAGTCATGTAAAAAAGACAGATTTTGACAGAGGGAGGGAGAGAGGTGGAAGGGAGTGGAAAAAAAATTAAGTATTGAGTGATGTTTTGACACTTTTATAGTTTCTGAGTGTTTCTTTGACTCTGTTAACAATTTCCCTATAATTTTGTGATACAGTTCAATCTAACAAAGCTATACCAAAAAATAACTTCTAAGGCATTGAATTACGCTAACTGATTTGTTTTTTGCATCTTAAGTTTATTTAAGTCTAGTAATTGGAATTTGATGTATAGCATGGTAAGGGTTTTACAAGCAGATTAGGGGTTAAATGTATATGTAGACATTAAAATTGCTTCATTAAAATCTCTCAGTGTAACTTTTTCTAATAGGGAAAATTGTTGATTGTAATCACCTGTTCTCCCATGTGTGGTTTAGAAGTTGATCTAGAGAACAGTTTTAGAGAGATTCTTTTAAAAGTTTTTCTGCTATAAATAGAACCTTATGTGTAGAAGGAAATAACCCTAAACTTGCCTTAAGTCCTATTGTAACTGCTGTCCTTTTCTCAAGACCAGTTCTCCTGGGCATATCAGGAATATCACCAAATCAGGCAAAAAGTAACCATGGCTATGTATAGTCACTAAGTTAGATATAAGCTAGTTCATGATACACACTTAGGTTCTGTTAGTAATAGAGCTCACAGCTCTTGCTGTTCCTGATACTGCCTTATGTCATAGTTCCGTTTGGCTTCTGCAGTTCTACTTTTTGACCATTCTCAGAGGACTTTAAAAGGAGAGAGTCAGGATAGTTGCTACTTGTGAATCTGTTTAAATATCATCAGATTTCAGGGCTTTTATTTTTAATTTCTTTGTAAAGATATCAATTGAATATTTAAATGTGCCAGTCAATTTATAGAATGTAACTAGGGTTCAGAAAACGTAAGTACATAAGACTTCTATATTTTGCAATAGCAAGAAAACTTCAAGAGAAATTCAAGAGAGCTGCTAGGAAATTTTTAATTTTTTACCTCTTTGAAAACATCTCATACTGTCTAAAAGGATAAGGATTTGACACATTTATTTTTCCAGACCTTTTTTTGTGTGTAGGCGTGCCAGCCCTAGGGCTTGAACGCAGTGTCTAGGTGCTGTTCCTGTTTCTGTGCTCAAGGCTGGCTCTCTGCCACTTGACCTACAGCTCCGTTTCCAGCTTTTTGGTAGTTAATTGGAGGCAAGAGTCTTATATCTTTTCTTGCCTAGGTTGGTTTTGAACCATAATATTCAAATCTCAGCCTCCTGAGTAGCTAGGATTACAGGCTTGAGCCACCAGTGCTGGGCTCAGACATTTCTTTTTATGATAATTACGTTTTCTCTAGTGATAATTCATAAAATACTCTAGAGTTTGTATAATACTTCTCTTGCCTCTGGCTGCTAAACAGGGCTACTAGCGAATAAAAATGTAGACAAATTATGGCTTTAACACATGCTATCTATGTATAGGAAAAGCAGAATAGACCTTTCTAACCCGAGGTGATTCTTAAGGAAACCCACACTTGAGGAAATTACAGTTTATAGTGAAGGGCAGGCGATACTCCAGATTCATAAGTTTATATTGAAGATGGGTTAAGCAAGGCCTGGCATGTAGTTTTTGAATGCTGTTGTTAGCTGCTATTTTTTTTTTGTTCTTTTTTGGTGGGGGAGGGAGGTAGTCCTGGGGCTTGAACTCAGGGCCTGGGCAATGTCCCTGAGCCTCTTTTGCTCAAGGCTAGCCCTCTACCACTTGAGCCATAACACCACCTCCAGCTTTTTTTGTTTATGTGGTACTGAGGAATAGAACCCAGGGCTTCATGCATGCTAGGCAAGCAGTCTACCACTAAGCCACATTCCCAGCCTATAGCTGCTATTATTGTTAGCTTTAGTTTGTCTTCTTGGTCATGGACATAGACATGTCTAAACAAAGAACTCTGACCAAGGATAGAATAAAAGGAGACTGTGGTGGTTAGAACTAACGAAACAAGAAGATTCAATGTAAAATTGTGTACTGTCCTCACTGTGTTGTGTGTCAGCAGTGCTTGGGTTGGGATGTGGGAGATTTTTCTATCTTGGTTTAAGATATATAGAAAAAACATTTCAGGAGATGTAGGTCTGACTTAGATAATTACTATAGCTAGCCATCTTCACCCTAGATGGCTACATGCTTGGATTACTATAGCTAGCCATCTTCACCCTAGATGGCTACATGCTTGGAGCTGGGTGCAGAACTGCTCTCTTTTCTGATGAGATTGTGTTCACTTACATGACACAATCTTTCTTTTAGTCATTATGTTCTGTCCTATTTGCAGGTTCAAATGTATTGATTTAATCTATGTACATACATAGGAAGTGGGAAAAATTGTTTTAAATGAGAAAGTTGTTTTATGTGATAGGAATAGTAAAGATACCACCAAGAAGGGAGAGAGGGAAAGAATGCTGTGGACAGATTAAAAAAAAATTTTTTTTGCCTTGCTAGGCACCAGTGGTTCAGGCCTGTCATCCTGGCTACTCAGGAGGCTGAGATCTGAGGATTGTGGTTTGAAGCCAGCTGGGCAGGAAGGTCTGTGAGACCCTTATCTCCAGTTAACAACCAAAAAAACAAAACCCCACCAAAAACAAACCAAAACGCTGAAAATGGAGCTGTAGCTCAAGTGGTAGAGCATTAACTTTGAGCAAAAAGCTCAGGGACATCACCTAGGTCCTGAGTTCCAGCCCCAGCACTGGAACACCTCCCACACAAACAAAAAAATTGCCCTTTGAAAATTGACCATGTTAGGAAGCCTGGGATGAAGTGATGCATCATGAGATTGCATTGCAGTTTATGTTGTTGTGAGACCACATGTGTGCACATACATGCACACTTCACGCGGCCACACATGCACACACAGATTTCTGTGTTCACCTGATTTCTCTTACTTAAAATAATTTTGTGTGTATGTGGTGCTGGAGTTTGAATACAGGCCCTTAATTGCTAGGCAGGTATTCTACCACCTGAGCCAGAACCCATGTTCCCTCTTGTTATTTTTTTAATTAGGGTCTTACATTTATGCTCAGGCCAGTCTGGACTGCTATCTTCCTTTTTTTTATACTTGCTGAGTATCTAGCATGGTGTGTGACATCACACCCAGCCTAGTTGGCTTTGAACTGTAATCCTCTCAATCTCAGCCTTCTGAGTAGCTATAATTATAGACATGAGATAAACCATCATGCTGTTTTATTTAAAATACCTTATAGTTTTTTTCACCAAGAACTTTCCTCTCTCCCTCTTCCTAGAAGGCCAGCCTGGAGGTCAGTCAGAGTGATACAAGTATCTCCTCATCAGAACAAAAGAGCAAAAGCAGTCTGCACTCATTAGCCCATGAAACAAAAATCGGGTCTTTCTTCAGCAACACCTCTTTAGATGTCAAAGACAAAGCTAGCGTTGATGCAGATGAGGATGATATGGAAGGAGACTCATTCTTTGATGATCCCATCCCTAAACCCGAAAAAACTTACGGTTGGTGAGTAGACTCTTTGGATTATCTAACTAGAGTCTTACAAATATAACTTCTATTTTTATTATGTGCATAAAAAGCAATGATTTAATAGTTCCATAATTATTGAATCCATAAATCTGGTTTGTGTCATTAAAACTTGTTATGCTGTTAAAATCATCCCAGGTTTTTGAAGAAACCAGATATAACTTGTTTTACTGAGCTAGCCTTCATTGAGTATCTGCCACATGACAGATGCTCTTTTAGGGACAGAATGCAGCAATATTAGAAGAGTCAAAATTCCCCCTCCCTGCCATGGAGTTCACCCTCTGACTCTGAAGAAGTGTTGGGTGATGGGAGCAGCTCTGGCCATGTGGACTTCAGTGGCACATCAGAGAAGGGCGACACTCAAGCTGAGCTGAAATCTGCAGAAGGCACACAGACTCTGAGGTCATAGAGCTCTTGGAGAGGAGCCAGGAAATGCCAAGGTGTTCTACCAGCCAGGGGATAGAAGCAAGAAAGTACAGTCATGGCAGAGAAAATGAGGGGTGGTACAAGGTTAGCCCAAAGATAGAGGTTGGCTGGCTGTAGGAGGGTGATGAGACTCATCACACAGGGCAAGATGGGCCCAGGTTGCTCTGCACTTGGGCACAGGGTTTCCAGTAGGGGATGCTTAAGATATTCAGGTCCCGGTGCTGCACCCCAGCTCGGAGCTGCCTGTTGGCTGCCACGCTCGCCCTGGGGCTACGGCAATGCCCCTGCTCCCCAGGTCGTTACTTCAGGGTGGGGTGGGTGACAGACAGACAAACTGACCTACAGATCCTCACTGGCTCTGGAATGCGTGCATGGAGTAGAGGTGATAGGGAAGGGCAGACCCCGCCGGTGTCCCTGTTAGAGCCCAGGAACTGTCAGTCACAGGGCTTGCTTGAAAGCCACCTGGTTCAGGCCCCTGTACCATACACAGATATATATGGATTGAGCTCAGAGCCTTGTTAATGGTGAGAGGGCCCACTTTTGAAGTACCTGGTGTGAGAGACAAGCACATGAACCAATATGGTGCTTCCTTTTCAAAAGTTGCTGGAGAAGAGGCTGGGAAGATGGCTCAGTGGTAGAATGCTTGCCTTACATGCATGAGGCCCTGGGTTCAATTCCCTCAGCACCACATAAGCAGGAAAAGCTGGAAGTGGTGCTATGCTCAAGTGGTAGAGCACTAGCCTTGAGCTGAAGAACTTGAGGGAGAGCGCCCAGACCCAGGGTTCAGGCCCCATGATCAACAACAACAACAACAAAAAAAGCTGGAGAAATACAAGAACATCAATGAAAATGAGCTCCTTGGCAAACTGTCAGAGGAGGAACTAAAACAGTTGGAAAATGGCCTAGATGACCTTGATCCTGAGAGTGCAACACTTGGGCTTGATTTCAACAGAAGGACCAGACACAGAAAACAGCCACTGGCCCATTTGACCTGGGTCAGATGGCACAGTTGAACAGTTGTGTGAATGTCTGGAGTGTGACTTACTGATTTAAGAAGATGTTGGTTGAATGGTCAGTAGTCTATTGGACTGTGAGAGTGGTGAATAAGAGAGGGGCTTGCATTTGAGCTGTTGATGAGGCAATTGTGTAGTTTGTAGGTAACTTAGAAGCCAGGAGACTGGAGGAGATAAGAACGTGGGCCCTGTGGCACCCCTAGTCATTCAGGTGAGCAGGAAATGTAAAGGAGATATAGAAAGCATTGAGAATAGGTGTCCTGGTAAGAGCAGGCAGAGGGAGCAGTTCGGATTTAGACATATGGAGGTTAGTAGTGTCCTTGGCAGATGGTTTTACCACAATGCAATAGGTACAGGCTTTTGATGGTGCCCAAGAAGGAATGAGAGGATAGGGTTGTCACATGAGTCACAAAGGCTCCAGAGGATTGGGGTGGTGGCTATAGGGTCATAATGTGGGCTTAAGCAGTTTGTTCATGTACAAGACCCAGCTCTTCCTCTTCTTCTTAGTCAGTGGTTCTTCAACTTCCTAGTTATTCAGGAGTCACCCTGGAGTCCTCTGGTTCTATAACGTATCAACAAAACCTTCTGGGTAGAACCTGAAAATACTTTCAACACTCATGACTTTTACCATCCTCTCTTGTCCGAATATCTTTTTTTTTTCTTCAAAGAATAAAAACCAATTTAATGTAGAAGTTCTTCTTTTTTTGGGGGGGGGGTCCGGTCGTGGGGCCTGAACTCTGGGCCTGGGCGTTGTCCCTCAGCTCTTCAGCTCAAGGCTAGCGCTCTACCACTTGAGTCACAGCGCCACTTCCAGGCTTTTTTTCTTTTTGCTTATGTG